AACGATGTTAAGAAAATGTCTAAATGTGACATAACTTTTTTATTTTAAAGCTTCAAAGAACATTTTATCAAGGAAAAATAAGGATATAAAGGTAAATTATATAATTCCAAAATGTAAAGCTCAATAAACTTATTTTTATAAAGTTATAAGAATATTTATATAATATTTGAAAAAAAATGTATATATATATTAGGCATATCTGACTGAATAAGTTACACACATGTCTGCTTATTTTTATCATAATATTTTCAAATTCATGAATATTTTCCCGTATATTCGTGAATATTAAAGGACTATGATCAAAATAAGCAGACAAAATGTTTGTAACTTATCCAGTCAGACATGCCTAAAAGAGAATTTGCTGCCTAAATACTCAGATTTAAAAAATATATATATATTCACATAATAATTCAACGTGTCTAGAAGAAAAATTCTGCAAAGAATGCACTGGACGGCCATTTCGTCTTTTTTGAGACTCAACAGCAGTGCGCATCCAGTAACGAGAATTGGACTGTTATGATATAACGCAAGCGTCATACTACTGGGCCATCGAGCCTTGGTTACGGAAAGGAAATTAACTAGACTCAATATAGCGCAGTTACTCCTAATTCAAGTATACATAACCCACTGGAACCAGCCCCAAGAGCAACCAAGCCGCACCCTCCAAAAGTTAGTCATTTAGCAGATTGATGTTATCTTCAGCATCCCGACTCGAGAGTTTCGAAGGCGTACTTGCCGTCCACTTTTCAGGAGTATCAGCAATTTATACAAAACACACACACACACACACACATACACACACACACATCACACACACACACACATATATATATATATATATATATATATATATATATATATATATATATATATATATAATCCTCTACAGGTTTTATTTCGGAAGTTCTCAACCTCAGCAGTTAGAGTTTTAACTGCTGCTGAGATGACTACAGTATAGAGGAGAAAATTCCAAATTTAGGCTTTGGAAATAGGGTTTTAAAAAATATATATATCTTTCACGACGCATTACTTAAATTTTGTTAGCCAAACCGAATATATAAATGAAGACGTGTATAAATAGAAATAATGCAATTAAAATGTTACTCAATAATAAGGAACATGTAATTAATCATATTTAAATGTCGTGAATCATCCATTCGAAAGGAAAGTTTTAAATGTCGATAAGTGTAGAACAAGAAGTTACGACGCATGCTATATTTAATAAAAAGCCATAAAACATTTTTAAAACCTCATTTCCTTTTGCTTATTATATCAGCCCAATCATGGTTGGTCGATTAATGTAACATTTTTGCCATCTTTGTTCTTTGGTCTGATTAAATAGTAAAGAACGTTTCTTTATTTGAACCGTAATTCAAGCTTAGTTTACGATGTTTCTACCGAACGGCGTGCGTCTCTCAGGCTTATTTATTTACAACCGGCTTGTTTCTTAACAAGGATCTTAAATCACAAGTAATATGAAGTTACATTAGTATTGTCAGTACCCAGTAAAAAGGCAATTTTCCTTGTTAAAATATAACTAGCAGCATGGCCCGGCGTTTCCCGTGCTTGATTCAAAAATCGTACGACTCACACAGCAATCGCTATCACTTGACTTAAAATATTTTTGCCATTCCTTGCCTTTAAAGGAGTGCCCTTTGCTGTGCTGATGTTGCTACATGCCTTACTTATTGCCTATCTCACACTGCGAATTTTCTCTATACTAAACATTAAATCTGTTACGAAAAAAGAACTAAAGAAAATGAACACAAAACGATCAGCTTTAAAAAAAAGGACTCGTAACTGGAAAAACCGAATGAAAAAAGAATGTTAACAACAAATACTTTTTCTCACCCAACCCAGTTCTGCGGAATCAGAATCAACGTTGAGTTTAAGCAAGCGAATGAGCCAATTGGAGTAAAGTGCCATGCAGATTTAAATTTTTCCCACTTTTGACGAATGCCGCTATCGATTTTTTTTTTGCATGCTAGCATACTAGTTAACATTCGTGTCAGTCAGCTGTTGGCTCTCACGTTGGCCAATAGAATCTTCCTGCCTATTCGTGGCAGCCAGCTATAGGCTCTCATTCTGGCCAGTAGAAAATGGCCGCAAACTTCATGAAAAAAATCGATTATTTTCACTATCGATGGAAGTTGGGAAATGCAAAGTCGGTCTTGGCCTTCCCGCTAACTTGGAGCATGTGCATGTAAATTTTGGTGCATATCCGTCGAAAATTGCGGCCGTGCATTCGTTACACACACACACACACACACACACACACACACACACACACACACACACACACACACACACACACATCCTGCCTTTTATAGATAGAGATATAAACTGATGGTTGAAGAGTTAATTATGGTATGATATTTACCCCGTGTTCTCACTGAAACATGATGTGGCACAAGGTCAGGTTAACTGTGGGGAACCTGAACGCGTACGCTCGGGCCAGGGACAAAAATTGTGCAGCCTCCGCAACTGTCGGTTGCGCTGGCATCGGCATGACTACCGCCTTCTTTTCTAGTGCAACTAGGAGTGTACAGCCACGGGCAGTTTTTTTTTCATCCGCGTTTCTATCCACGGACAAAGAGACAACCAAGCTGCACTCTACCCGAAGAGAGAGACGAAACTAAGAGATGTTAAAACCTACAATGCATGTGCCAGGTAAGTAGAAATTATTTAATTATAGTATAAGTCTAGTAAAAGTTTATGAATTTAGATTTAATAAAAATTGGTTTTTCAGTATCATGGCTCCAAATGTTATATGAATAGGTTTACGGTGAAGTCTATAGTCGTCATTACAGTAGTAAAATCTTTTTCTACTATAGTATGATATCTACTATTCATTTTCTAATATAGTATGATATCTACTATTCATTCTCTACTATAGTACGATATTTACTATTTCTTTTCTACTATGATATGATAATTTCCAACTGTTGGAAGTATGAAATATGTTGCGGTTAGGGTTAAGGGTTAGGGTTAAAGGCAATGAACTGGTTATGTATTAAAAATCATTAACAATTTTTATACAAAAAAAATTTTCAAATACTCAAATAGTAATTTTAATGTTCGTAAATTGATTTGATGTCATTTAAAAAAGATACAGTAAAGAGGTCATCGTTTTGTCCGTGCATTTTCCAACAATAATGTGTGCATCGTCATTTACTGTAGGTCACAAATGGCTTGGTAGATATCAGACTATAGTAGCACCAATCTACTTATACAAAATGTAGTATAAAGTGACGGAACATGAGGTGTCTGGGGATTTCATTACAGACCCTTCTTCTGGATTTTGTCAAGAATCTCGAGATGTTCAGCAGGAACACCAGACCAGATATAGTACAGTATTCACGGAGAAATGGTAGGTTTATAAATATGTAAGATGAATTCATACAGGAACCATTTTCTGGCACGATACAGTGAACCAAGTTTCTTTGCAGTAGACAAAGTAATTGATTCGATATAATCAGTGAAAGCGTGAGACCAACGAGACTTAGTGTGCTGCTCTCCTGGAGGTTAGCATCAGCCATGCTAATAGCAGGTAGAAAAGCTTCTCTGTGGTGATTAAATGAAAGCAGTTTTGTTTTGAAGGTGTTAAAATTTACAATTCGTTTCCTGCTTCAGTTGACCACTGATTGGAGGTCTTTTGGTAGGTTTACTTTGTTAGATCTGTCGAATTTTCTATTAAGACAGGAGTTAATGGTTGTGTCATCTGCATAAATACCTAATTGGAAATATGCAAAAGGGCATAAAATTAATCTTCCAAAGTTTATATTACCCGATTATTTCAGCAGCTGAACGCTGACGTATTGGTATGTTACTTGCCTGTTTACTTGGGAGGGGCGAATTAATGTAGGCGTCGTCTCATTTTATATATCCGCTTAGCGGGAAAAAAACCGCAAACAACTGTAACAGACTTTCATAGAATAAAATAGTTCTGTTATTCATTCATTTTTTTCTATATTTGAAAAGTTTCCTCAACGAAAAAGTAACATAAAATTAATGTCTAAATAATAATTATAGCTTATACGTTACGTTCTTGATCTGCGAATTTCATTTCCTGTCATTGCCTGCGGTATTTTCCATCTATGGATAATAGATTCACAGGTAAAACCCATCTTCGTCAAACTACTTACAAGAACTTACTTTCTTGTTTTTACAGTGATGTTCACCCTGCACAAGGCCCGAGGGCCACTCGAGGTAAAGGGTTACTGTGTAAGAGGCACAGCTTAAGCGGATATATGTGAAAGATAACGGTTAACACTTGACTTGAACAGGTTAAGATTTTAGTAATCGGGAAAAATACAACCGCCACCTCTACTTCAACAGTTTCTTTTCCCGCATTTCCCAACAGTCGGACTCCCTTCCGTTTTCTTGCTTCCCTGAAAACTACAATCTTCAAAAACGTAAATGCAACGTTAATGACCATCTTCTGTTTTCTTGAATTCCGTTCATCTATTGTCCTTTACTTAATCCTCCCTATACTCAGTCTTTTCTCTCACTTTCACTCCCTATGACCCCTTGCGTATTCCCGCTTTGCTTGTAGTGAAATGATTAACAAAAAGGTTTAAAGATTCTTCTTTTAACTTCTTTGATTTAGCGTCTTTCTACGCCTTAATGTTCATATAATTTTTAGTTTTCCTCTCAAGATCATTTATAGAATGAAAACCTACTTTAAAAGTCGTGAAGACGCTATCAAAACTGGAAAGTAAGGAGCAGGAAACTCCAACTCAAATATGGCAACAATACTCCATTTTTGATCGGATCTTGCTCTTGTCATGTTAGTGCATAGCAGGCAGGGTCGGCTTCTTACTGGAGCGGTACAAGCAGCCGACCATTTTTCAAGCATCTGTAGCAAGGCATCGTATGTATGAGTTCCTTTGGTTTTTCAGATGTTTCTCTCAGTATCTTTTGCACTATGAGGAGATGTTGAAAACTTATCGACCCGACCCAATTTCCAAATTTAGTCAAAAGACCAAACGCCAGAATTCGTTGAAACACTGGTTCCCGTACGATCACTGTAGTTAAGCAACGTTGGTCTTGGTCAGTATCTAGATGTGTGACCGCTTGGGAATACCAGGTGCTGTCAGCTTGGATGTGCAGGTGGTGTAACGGATAATGTCTCAAAATTGTTAATCGGAAAGCCGAGTTCCAATTCCAGTTGGGTTCGTTATATTCATTTACTCGGAAACACTTGTGGGAAAGGTATGAATCCACCTCTCCTCCCACTAGCTATGAGTTAATTAGTAAAACTTGTATCACTAAACCTTTATTATCCTCCTGCCCCCCCCCGCGCCACCAAAAAAAATTATTACAATCTAAAATTATTTCCTGGCTTTAATTAACCTGCAAACGGTTGATAAGCCGTAGAAAATGAATCAATCAATCAATGATGTTGTTCCAAATACCCCTGGGAAAGATATGAATCAATCGATTCTCTCCTTATATGGATTAAATAGTAAAGCAGATTGGACTCGTGCTTGGCAACCAATATATGAGGACAACAACTCTGAATTCCAAACCGTGTGTGGCCTGGGTGGCGCATGTACTTGTACTGTAATTAATATCCCCTCTGCATTGTTGAAGTTTATATCACAGATCAGCTCTGTGAGAAGTTGAAGAATCACAAATAGGCATAGGCATAGGGGTATCCGGGGGAAAAATAGAGATTCGTACTGAAGAAAAAACGTCGCACTAATCGCCGGTGAATATAACGAACTCAACTGGAATTCGAACTAGAATATATATATATATATATATATATATATATATATATATATATATATATATATGAATGATAAAATAAAAAAGAACAAATAGGAAACGTTCGAATTCCAGTCGAAACCATTACGTGCTAATACCCTTGAGGAAGGTATAAATCCTCTTCTTCTCCCCCTAGCTATGGGTAAATAGCAGGACAGACCGGGTTCTATAGTCGTGGATGGATGGCAACTGGTCTACCGCAGAAAGAAATGGCAACCTACTACGGGGAAAAAAATCTGCCTCGTCAGTCATGTATCGAAAGATACATGATCGCCTAAGCGTGTATCACGCATGGCACATAATCTGATGTATCAATCTAACATGTCTCACTTTTATTAAAGCTTCGTCAGAAATTGAGAGAAAACAGACAAAAAGCAGAAAACAGTGGTATTTTCAATTATGTTTGAGTCAGTTCTCATTGGTCGGACACGTGTTACGTGCATTAAAACCGTGGATAATTCTATGTGTATGTAGGTCTGTGAAGATTCTTGTATGTCTAAGTTGGCAACGGGTGGTAATGTGTATTTGTGTGTGTGTGTGTGTGTGTGTCTGTCTACTTGGATTTTATCTTCATCTTTGTGCGGTCAGCCTACGCAGCGAGGAATCACAGCGTTCTAATTTACGGCTGGCCTCTTTGTATTCTTTGTATTAGATAGGTATAAGTTAGATTCTTTAAGAATAGATTCAAAGCAAGATGGCGATGTAAGTTAATGTTTTATACGTTCGTTTATAGTTGGTAATAATGTTATTAGTAAATTTTCAATGTATTTTCTCTTTAAAGAATTATGTTCTTTTTTAATTAGGTTGGCATTAGTGAAATCAAAGTTATGCCCAGCATTATTTCAATGCAAAACGAAGGGGTTAAATTGATTATCCAAACGCAAGTTTCTCTTGTGTTCGTAGATGCGGACTTTTCGTTCACGTGATGTCTCTCCGACATAGATATTTTTGCATTATAAACAATTTATTTGATAAATCCCGGCATTTGAATCGGTGTTGGGTTTATTTTTCTTCGTAATTATAGCTCTGATTGTTTTGGAGGTGGTGGTAACGATCCGAGGATTAGGGATGACTAGATTGTTTGCGAGTTTTTGCAGAAAGTGTGTGGAGGGCAGGATTATGAATTTTGTGTAATTTTTGTTACAGGTGTTATTGGTGGTATCTGATTTTTGGCTTTGTTGGTTTTGTAAGGTTTTATTTTTGGGTTTTTTTTTGCGTTGATCATAAAATGATGGTCAGTGGAAAAGTTTGAAAGTTTTCTCAATATATCTTTCTTCTTCATTTAGGTGTTCCGGACGACATATCCTTAGGGTTCTAAGGCATGAATAAAAAAAGACAAGCGGAAAACTATATTTGGCCGATGCGTTTCGTCCTCTGAGCGACTTTTTCAAGGGGATGTAGGATTTATTACGCTGTACGTGTTTCTATAGAAAGTATATCATTGGTTTATCAAAATTTGAGAACGTTCATTAATGTTCATCAGGTGATTGAAAGGTCAGTCGAAGCATGTGGAGGTCACAAAATGCCCGAAATCAAAATCTGGCAAAAATCACGTTGGCAAGTAATATTGCATTTTTTTCTTTTTCGTTTAAATGAATATTGTTTATATGTTGATTAAATTCTTATGGTATAGGATGGCCGTTTATGCTGTATATTTTTAAAGGCTAAAGGGATGGATTTAACCGTTTTCTTTTGAGTTTTCTACATATTTGTTGTTGTGTATGTTGC